TTGGAGTTATATTCTTAAATTTCATACATTTTAGTTAACATTTTAATCAGTGCAAGTTTTAAGTCTCAAATATATTTTAAATAGGGGTCACTGGAGAAGGAAGAGAAACAAAAAGGTGTCACTGGTCAAAAAAGTTTGATGACCTCTGCTTTAATTGTTCCATCAAGATAAAAGGATTGGGTGAAAACTAAATTCCCATAACGTTATATATTTTATAAATCACTCTTCTTTTACTTCTCCTTCTCTATTATTAGTTTCCTATTGTTGGAATCAGAATTCATTGAATTAAAAAAGATTTCCCGAAAAAGTGAAATGAAGAACAATGAATGAAAAGAATTCAAACTATGGCACTTCCCACACATGAAAAGGACAATTGTTATTTGAATAGATGTTTTTGTTTAAAGTTCTGTTGTATTAAATTACCAAATGATCTCTCGCTTTGGTTTAGTGCACACTGATTAAGTAAAAAGAAGAAAAGGTAGTGACTGAACAGTAGTTATGTACATACAATAATCTTGATATGTAACTGCGGTTCCAGAAAAAATAAAGTATTTAGTTTGGGAGGAAACTTTTTTTTAAGGGACAAATGAAAGAGCATAAAATGAATGCAATGAATTGAAATGTTGATATAAACAGTGACAAATATGTTTTGCATGAAATAAAAAAAATATAGGATGAAGAAGATTGTCCTTTTGTTGCCTCTTGCTGAAGCAGTTAAACCACAGAGAGTTATCCATGATTTTTGCATGTAGAGAGAACAGGAAAAACAATGAAAAATAAAGAGAAAATAAACTGAGAAAAATATAGAAAGACAAACACAAACAATTCTGTCTATCAATGGCCTGAAGTGTGTTCAAGCATGAAACTGACAGTCATCACTCAGTATTGGGCACAATGTCCACTTTTACATTTACACATGCTCTATCCCTGATATTGAGCTATTTAAACTATATTTTTATCATTTTATATACATATATATATGTATGTGAGTAAATTGCTGAAACCCCCTAAGGAGAGGACAGACAGGTCCAGCTATGAGTTAGGATGCTGAAAGTAATATCAATCAGCTAAGTGTCAAAATTTACTCCCATTAATCCATATATATATATATATATATATATATATATGTATGTATATTATTATTATTTATATTGTTATATATATATATATATATATATATATATATATATATATATATATATATATATAGTTTATGAAAAATTAGGTAATCTGTATGGGTAAAACCCAAGGAGGATAAAATCCAGGAGCTCAATGTAAATATATATATATATATATATATATATATATATATGATGAATGGAGAAGTAGAGAGTAATTAAAAGAAAGAGATACAAAGGAAGTGATGCATAACCTCTTCTTGTCTATGATGGACTACGTTCACAAAAAATACTCCTGGGATACTTGAACCCTGTAGTCTATGTTTGTTTTTCCTATCCATATATACTTATGATAAATTTTCCTATCCATATATACTTATGATAAATTTTCCTATCCATATATACTTATGATAAATTTTCCTATCCATATATACTTATGATAAATTTTCCTATCCATATATACTTATGATAAATTTTCCTATCCATATATACTTATGATAAATTTCCTATCCATATATACTTATGATAAATTTCCTATCCATATATACTTATGATAAATTTCCTATCCATATATACTTATGATAAATTTCCTATCCATATATACTTATGATAAATTTTCCTATCCATATATACTTATGATAAATTTCCTATCCATATATACTTATGATAAATTTTCCTATCCATATATACTTATGATAAATTTCCCATCCATATATACTTATGATAAATTTCCTATCCATATATACTTATGATAAATTTCCTATCCATATATACTTATGATAAATTTCCTATCCATATATACTTATGATAAATTTCCTATCCATATATACTTATGATAAATTTATGAGATTAAACATTATAACTAATAAGAAATTAGATAACAAATGATAACAATATGCTTTAATAAACATTAAGGGATGGACAGATATGATTTATTTTTACTGTAGATCCCAACAACTTTCACATATCATTTTGGGTTTTTGTTTTTATGGTTCCTCATTGGTTGATGTTAATCTTTTTATTTAAGGAAGCACTTCATGGTTTCTTTTCACTTACCAGCATTGTCGGCATGATCATTATGTAAAATATATGAATTGCTTACTTTTGCAGTTTGACTGGGGGTAGAGAAGTGAAACTATGAATAAGGAGGAGGTCCATTGTGTGAAAATGTACAATGATAAAAAAATGTTGTTTATGTTAAAACAATTTGCTTTACCAAAGTAGAAAAACTATCATTGAAATATACAAAAAATGAAACAAAAAACAGATTCTTTTATTATAATAAAAAAAAAAATATGAAATATACAAAATAAAAAAAAAAAGGAAAAATTTCATTATAATGAAAAAAAAATAATGCTAAAATGTAATCACAGAATTCATATCTAGTTCTAAAACAAATCACTAAATCAAATACATGTCTTCTTACCTTTGAGCTGTGGTGATTATTTTCAGAACCAGTTAAATACAAGAGAGAAAGCATGCTCAGTTTATTAAACTTTTTCCAGTTTTTTCTTTTGAAAAAGGATAATTTTACTCCTAATAAGAATTAGGACTTCATGTGTTTTATGTATATATATAAGATACACATATATAATCAATTAAACAACTTGGTATGCCATGTATTGAGCACCTGGAGTAGTACACCAAACTATTGCAATCATCAAAAAAGGTCTGATAGTTTCCAATGACACATGAAGTTAGGAAATAAAACCATAAATTAATGACCAAAAATAATTAAACTTTTGAAAATATTAGCAAAAGAAATTACTAACACATACGTCTATGATAAATAGACAAAAATGTTAATCCTGTTTGAGTGCATATATATATATATATATGTAAATATATGCCTGTGTGTGTGGGTGAGAGAGAAAGGTATAAAAGTTTAAGTAATGGGAGATAAACAGATTTTGAATAAGATCTAATCAAGTAAACCTTTGATCCTTGAGTTTGAGGAGCAAAGAACACTTATTTCATATTGAATTACCAAGATAAAAAAGGCACCTCTGACTTAAGTGAAGCCATTGAAAAAAAAATGACAACATACAAGTGCGGTCATGATTATGTCTTAAAGAAGTTTCAGGTGGATTTTTATTTATTTAATATCTTCCTTTAATTCTTATAACTTGAAAAATACAATGAAGCTTTGTAAATCAGAAATTATTAAATTAGGATCAAATAAGAGTAAGATTATTAAATGATTTAAGCATACAACATAATGAGAAAAACAAGATTTTATTATAGTATTATATGGGGGCATGGGAATGGATAAATTGTGGTCAAAATTATGCAAAATATAAAAGGCGGACAATTTATCTATCGCACCCTGTATATCAGGTTGATGAAACGTTTCCAGCATTTTTGACAAAAACTTTTATTCTTATAAATTCATAGCATTGTTATAAAAGAAAAGATTTACTAGTAATAGATTCGTTAGTAAAACATTTTAAAAAATAATGTATGTTGAGCAGAATTTTGTGAGGTGCAAATTAAGAGGACCCATTGGTTCCAATATAGCAAGGAATAGTGAGAGTAGCTTAGATGTGGTACAAGGCTGAAAGTATGAGACACTCAGTGAGGATCAAACTCACTACTCAGTCATAATTGTTCTAGCGAGACAAGCTTGCTAACCATTTCACCATGTTGAGGTGCCCAAATCTGGCTACGAATGACTGCAAAACACTTTCTCCTCTGAGATTTCTTCCTAGCCAATAAAATAGGCCAGTTCTTGGTTTCATCTAATTCCGTCCCAGTCTGTCTTGTCTTGAAGTCAGAATGCTATATTCACTTGTCCGAACTTGCTTTTGTGTGTCAACCCTAATTTTTAGTTTGTGAACTTTTTGCCATATTACTGTTAATTTGCCTTGCATCTATTGTTTGCTTGTTTTATATTATTGTTCTTTTCTTTTCTTTCTTATTGTTTATTTCAAACTTTGTCAATTCCGCTTGTCAATTCCGTTTTTGTTTGGGCAGTTCTATTTAGATTTAACCATATTCAGTTTTACTCTTCATAACCAAAGTTTCCATGGTGGAAAATCTTTTTTCTAGAAATCTTACTTTTCTAGAAATCTTACTTTTCTAGAAATCTTACTTTTCTAGAAATCTTACTTTGGTTTTATTCTTGAAATTTAATGTTTGATTGTTTGTAAAAAGAAAAAGAAAATGAAAAATGGGAAGGGAAAATTTGGTTTTCCAAGATTATTTTAAGATTTTATAAAAAATTTGCTTTGAGTATCCAAAAAATTCCATGGTATTCATGAAAAGAAAATGTCAGAAAAGAACAAATCATAGTGAGAAATCTTTCTTTTAAAAAGTAAATTTTATGTAATTAGTAATTCTTAAATGTTGAAGCATACCTACTGACAATAATGGGTATGTCCCCATTCACATAAAGGCAGTAGTAAATACTGTATGTTGGTCTGCAGTTGAAGATTCATTGTGGAATTCACTTAACTTCTAGCAACTACTACTTCTATGTGCCACTGGCAAATCTTATATGTGTTGTTCTTGTCCTAAGTATTATCATTCATTACCGACCTTCATTTGATTATTCTATTCAGTAACCTTCCCTAGTTTACAACACTAACATTAGTTGATGTAGTGATGATAGATATGAACAGACTGAGATAGATAGATAGATAGATAGATAGCCATACATACAGGGATGAAACAAGAAAGAGACATGAAGCAGGAAACAAATAGAGAAAGTGATAAGACAGGGAAGTTAGAGAGAGATGTGAGATGAAAGAGAAAGATGAAACAAGAGAGAGATTGGAAAGTGATGGAGATGAAAGAGATAGAAATAGGAAAGAGGAAATAGATAAGATCGATAGAACAAAAGATAGGGAGATGGAAGAAGAAGAAAAAAGATAAGAGATATACAGTGATAGGAAAAGAGAGTAAAAGGAAATGGGGAAAGAGAGATAGAGAGAGTGATAAGTCAAACAAATCATCAGAGTCATTAATGAGATTAGTCTTGTAAATTTTTTTTTTTTTTTTTACAAAGTTGGAAAAATCTGCTTTACTGACTGTGAAAAGAAGAAGAGTAGAAAAGAGACAAGAACTTTCAGTACAACTTACGGCCAAAAAACAAAACTTCTAGAATCATTGAGTTTTAAAAAAGATACTAACTGATAATAAAATATCACAAAGAATATGTTAGACTAATAACATGTTATATTCCATACTAAGGGAATAAATACTTAACACCAGGTGGATAATAAAAGAAAGGTTTATTGTACACAACCAGTACAATATGAAATATAGTACAGTTATACACACAGGTCAATCTAGTAGTGAGTGCCACTAATTGCAAGTTCGGACATGCTTGTGTCTTCTCGCTCTCACTAAAGTCTCTCGTAGACAGTTGACTTTATATGTACTTACTACCTATAGTGAAATCATTCAGGGGGGTGACTGGTTATTCCATTACATCATAATGGTAAGTACATTCTATTTTGTGAATGATGTATTTTAGTAAGGTTTAATCATTGTGAGAAATAAAGATTTTTTTTAATGAATGCTTTACATGAATCAAATGTGTTAAATGTTTTGACCACTTGCACAGGTAATTTTTTTTCTGGAGGGGGTAAAAATTAATGCAAAAAATTCAGGGGTCACACTATACATGAAATTAGCTTATACATGAGTAAATATGGTTACTTAATAAAGAACATTACTAATCAAATTTTGGGGAGTCTCATAGAACTGAAAATTGCTAATTTAGTAAGTAATTTAGTAAGTAATAAGCTGATAGGATTTAGCAGTCAAGTACATCTTTTACAAATGTTCAAATAGAGAAAAAAGCATTGTTGGATGCCTGGCTGGGAAATTCAGGTTTAGAAAAGGTTAAAGAAACAACTCACCTGAAGAACTTGTGGTGGTACTTCCTTGCCGACATTTTTGGTGCCAGGTACATTGATAGACTGGGTGGAATCAGTGAAGACCTTGAGGGGTTCAGCAGGAAAAGATTCTTTGCGTTCCTGTTCAGCGACTTGCTGTTTCATGAGTCCAAGCCTCAGGTTGGTACGATTTGTTGGGTTGGCATGTTTGATCTCTGGTGAAGGACTGAAAAAAAAAAAAAGTAAGTAGGGAATGACGTAACAGTTCCAAGAAAAAATATTTTAGATTTTTGTAAGATAGTTCATTAGTCATAATTTGAATTTTGGAGATTGTTGAAATTGTAAGAGGCAATGTGTCTCTGGTAATCAGTACAGGTTAGAAAAACAGAAAGAAAAAAAATTTTAATTCAAAATTCTCAGCAAACCCCCATTCCTTCATGCACATGTGCAGGCATATCAATGTAAACATAAATTTAGCCTGATGAAATCCTAAAGGACATCACACAAAAACATTTTCCACTTTGTCATGCATCTTTTACCTAAAATTGTTCTTGATATATAAAAATTTACATTTCATTTTCCCTATATATATATATATATATATATATATATATATATATATATATATATATATATATATATATATATGATGATCACAAAAGTGTGAAACCCAGGGTTACAAACTAATATCCATACAACTGAATATGTTAGCTCTATCACAGATATTGAGCATTTTCCATTAGTACAACGTAAGTACCACATACACACACATTATATATATATATATATATATGAGAGAGAGAGTGAACAAAATTGTCTGAATATTGTGTTCAAGCATGAAACAGATTGTCGCCACTCAATGTTGACCTCAGTATCCACTTTTATATTTACATACACATTATCCCTGATATTAAGCACTTTTACCCATAAATATTGCATACCTAACAAATATATATATATATATATATATATATATATATATATATATATATATATGTTCTCTACTGACTTTCTATCAGGCCTATAAGCCTTTATTTTCAGACAAATATCTTTGGGAAAGGTATAAAACTGTTTCTTCTCTCCCAAGCTATGAGTTAAATAGAAGAGTAGACTTTGAAGAAGTCATGGCAATTTAGAAATAAGAAAAAGAATCTGTCAAGAACCAGGCTTACCAATATCCTGAAGTAAATGGCATAAAAAATACTTAAATTATTTCCTTTGGATAAAGCAAATATATTCATCTTTCTTCCCAGATTAAATAGAGTGTTTGTTAAGTTTGAAATGTCATGAATTTCACCTGGTTCAACAGACACCTGGAGAAGGCTGGAGTGCACAACAACAATTGAAACATTGTCATAATAAGAGTAAAGATGAGGACATTAGTTCAACAGCAACTAATGTAAATAATATATTTGCACTTATGGTTTTTTTTTATATTTGTTGTAATCAGTGATTAAATGCTTAGACCTGTATCAGCCAATAAGGGAGAAAATTTGTTTATTACAAAAAGATGTCGATATAAGATCTTAAAAAAACAAAAAAGCATCAATCCTAAAATCTTTATAAAGTCTTTGTATGTAAATTTAATTATGGCAATAATTTTTCAAATAAATCAACTACAAATTACTGAATTTCATTGAAACAATAATCGCAGCAAGTTACATTTCAGATTTAGTGCTGAGAATTAAAATAAATAAATAAATAAATAAAGATTAGGAGAGGGAAAAAAGTTGATTATTAACAGCCAGCGATTGAATATGGGGTCCAAGTCTGGTATGTATACTAGTTGACCTGACCAGAAGCCTAGAATCAGTAAACATCATCATTTTTGGTCAACAACAGGGGTCATAGAGTACACATATATTGAGATGATGTCCAGTTTGGAACAAATAAACATAAATTATGGTCTTCCAACCTCCAACCCTTAAGGAAACTGTAAACAGGTAAGTGGAATGAAAAAAAAAAAAAAAAAAATATAGAGGATGTAGGCTTGAATCTGAAAGTGCACTCACTGACCTTGGATATCAAATTTTAGGGGTTCATAACATAGAACCATATTCTGAAGGTTTTACAGTTACTTATTTATGAGAGAATACAAATCTTAAGCATAAAACTTTTAAAATGTACTTTAGAATAAGTGAACATATGCAATGTCTCTTCATAATCAGACTATTTAAAATGCAGATAGATGCATAAAATCAGGAATAAAGGAATTCATATTCAATAGAATGTTATATACAATCACAACTCCTAAATATTCCCATAATCAGAAATATAACAAAAGCTGAATAATGAAAAAAACTATCACAAATAAAACTGAATGAAATGATTAGCATGCCAGTTGCAAAAATATGACCTCTTTTTTTGTGTGCACTCCCAGGAAAACAAAAGTTTAAAAAAGGCCTATCCAATAAATATATTTATGAAATATAAACGTAAGCAATTTCTTATAAAAAGATTAAAAGTATGAAAAAACATACAGATGGTATATTTATTTTGATACCAGTTTCATTATATTTCTATTTATTTTGAAACCAGTTTCATTATATTTCCATTTATTTTGATTTTAGTTTATATTCATTATTCTAACTTGCTTTATAAGATTTGTGAATCTAATTATCAATCAACCCTCAATTTTGAAGAGAAATAAATTTCTTCATTTTTATACCAGTTCTGTATTATTTTATCTGGTTTTAATCTTTCATCAGATTCAAGCACTTACTTATCAGTCAATCCTTATATAATGTGATGTGTCCATGTGTATAAATGTAAACATGCAGGTGAAAAAGGGGAGATAAAATATAAAAGTGAGATATCAAAGAAAAAGAGTGAGTTGTTTTTTAGTAATGTTCTTGTCAATTATTAAGTTTTTACTTGTATTTAATTCTGTTGCTTTATAAATTTTCAACTTACTCTTAAAATAACTTACTCTTAAAATATTGCCATCTCATTCATTCAAGTAATGTCTACTGGTGAAATCTTGATGGCTCAATTGGAAAGGCTCTCAAGGATAAGGGAAATGAGTTCAAAACTTGCCAAAGGTTATTTTTTCTGATCTTTGTTACTTAATGGTTTTATATTATCAATCTAAGATCTACAATAAAAATAAGACAAAAAGAAATACTAGTAGAAAATGACTAATAATTTACTGACATTACTCATTTTAATAAAAACATTAAATGAATGTAAAATGGCGATGACTAATGTTTAAGCACTCCAGAATATAATCAAGTATAAAAAATAATAAAGACCTCTTGAAACTCAAGTCTAAAAACACTGAATACATTTTCTTCATTGAACAGATGCTACACATTGATTCAAGTGAAAAGCAGCTTAGCTTGCACTATTAATATTTCTTATTACAGACCTAACCTCCCCCCTTACAAAATATCTCTTATTACAGACCTCAAAACAAGAAAAAATTCAGCTTTCGATACTTTTTGCTATTTGTTTTTTTTTTTTTTTTTTAAGTCAATCCACCTACAAGCAAGGCGATAATGCCACTAAGATGCAAGAGTGCTACTGAAAATGAAAGAAAAGGGAACTGCAAACTGAATAATAGTCTAAGTTTAGGTGGAGATGTTAGAAGCATAAAGTAAAATTTAGATGAAATTGGAAACCCTATCCTAAACCGAAAACACGAGATAAACCTCTAATCCTGTTCAAAAGGCCAGGGAGGAATATGTACAGAGTCTTTTGCTCAGGAGTAGAGGCTTATTTATTATAATTACCTTGGTCAAAGAACTACAGGAACTGTTTTTATAAGGGCTACATAATTCAAAATGAGATATGTGGCTAGTGTAATGGGTATTGGCAAGCCAAGATCAAATACCAGACTTGTTTATTGCCTTCACCTATGCACTTATGCCCCTGTGAAAGGTATGAATTACTCTCTTCTCTCCCCATCTATGGGTTAAATATTAGGGTAGACTAGACTATTCTTGAATGACAACCTGTCTGAGAGAAGGAAAACTTTGAATTCACAACCATGGGGGAGGAAGTGGAAAACTACTCCATTACCTTTCCCAAGAGTGCCTGATAATTCACAGATAATAAAGAAAAAGCCATCTGTAGTGAGCCATGATTGCCTACATCCTGGCACTTTAAAAAAATAAGAAATAAGGTTCAATAATTTGTGTTCTGCAAACTAGAAATTAAACCATAGCCCTTAAGGTCTCCTGTTTTGCAAATGAACCACTTAGCTATCAACTGTGGTGGAAAAAAAACCCCTAAATCTTGTCAGAAAAGCCAAAAGAAAAACATAGCAAAGAATGGAGCATCATAAAAAACGTGGAGCTTTAGGGTTTGTTGATTAAGGAAGGAAGAAACTGGATTGAGTCCTGCTCCTCTATTAGTTGCTCTAAGTAGGTTATTGATATCTGACCTTTGACCTAACCTGTACTTATCCACACTTCACATTATTCAAAAGCTGATCACTGAAGAAAGGCTATTACTGCAAATGACCCCATAAAGAACAGCTCATTGGATTTAATCCCAAGGAACTCTTTAGCAATGGAGAGAGAGAGAGAGGGTATCTTTTATGGGGGGAAAAAGGAATGTGGTTTGCCATGCAACAGATAGAATAGTAATTACCAGGCTTTGATTAAACTAGGAGAGAAAAAAATGCTTTTTGAGCCTGAGGGTGAAAGGAAGTTAAGGACCCCTATCCCTTTAAATACAGGATTGCTTTTGGATGTGAAATTGTTCACTATATTGTTAGCATTTATTGTGTTGGCTTATAGAGATAGATTGGGTTTTGATCATCAGCTGGAAACTTTACAGAAGAAAAAAGGTGGAGTCATACAGGGAAGTCAGGAATTAGTATTTTATTATCATAGTGAACACAATAGATTATCAAGAAATATAGATTAAGATGTTTTTCAACATAATTGCACTGAATAACATTTGTGCAGAATGGTGGGGTATAATCCTTTGAAAGAAATTGCATACATATGTGTTTTGAGAATCATGCATTTATACATATATGTTTATGCCACTATGCCCTCACTTTTTGCAAAAACAGAAAACTAAATTTGTTTTCTTGGTCCCAATCTATGATAATGCTACTGTATCATTTGTCTACTAAAATCATTACTCCCATTAACTTTCAAAATTATTAGAACTTCCATCTTTTTTTCAAAACATGAACTTCTAAAACTTCTACA